TGTTCACTCTTTCCCAGATTGCAAGAATCTGATCCCACTTCCCCAACTTTTTTTAGTGGAGGAATCGTTATAATAAGAACATCACCTTTTGGAGAATTTTACCATTGGGCAGACACACACCAAATGCAACCTTGCCATCATTTACTGGCTTCAATGAACAAACAAACATGAAAGAAGTTTTTGTTGCGGCCACCTGGTGGATATCTTCTTGTTAAAAATACGGGTGGGTTAAAGTGGCAGTTGGTCGACTAGTTCCACACAAGTTTTAACTGGTGGATTGGGAGGTTATATGTATATACAATATGTATACCTATAAATATCTTTATACATGTATTTGGGCATAACCATTTTTTTAAAAAAGTCTTCGCACTTAGATCAGCGAATATGATATAGATTTTTTTTAGTTATATTTCATTCATCTTTCATAATTTTTATATATAGTATAAGTATCTCATCTTCTTTATAACTTAGCTGCTGTTGTTGGTTTAGCGGTTCGCTAACCCCGCTTAAGCACAGGTTTGATTAAACTAAATCGCCAAGGTCATGTAGCGGGAGGTCCAGGAAACGAGCTGTTTCAACGGAATTGGACCAAAAGATGAGAGCGGTTAGATGAGTCGGCTTAAGGGGGCATATGAAGAGGTGGTTAGTGTCGTGCGGAGACTCTCCACATGCCGGCCATACGTTGGATATACTAGAGTGGAGCCAGCATGTGTAAGAGTTTAACCTGCTACAGTATCCAGACCTAAGTTATGCCAAGGTCACACGGGCTTCTGGGGGCAGCTTGAGCTCGTTGTCTGCAATAGGTGGTGGTTTTACTCCGAGCACGCCATTCACTGGAAGGGAGTCTTTGAAGGTGTTTACTGACTGCTGGCGAATGGCGTTCAGTGTCTGTCTGTACCCCGTTCTGTCCAGCGGTTGTTGTACATGTTGTTGCGTAGTGTTTTCTTAGTCGAATACTTTCTCCCTGATATGCCAAGGTGGAGGTTCAGCTTCTATAAGGTGCCTATTAAGGTGCTCTCTGCAGTAACATCCCAATAGGAGCTGCTTGCACAGCAAAGCATTATGCTCCTTAACTCGTATCATAGATGCTTCACTGTGCAAGAGATGCTCCGGCGGCATCAGAAGATTTCCAGTCGCAGTCCTGAAGGCAGTGCTCTGGCAAGCCTGTAGTTCCTTTATCTGTGCCTCGTTCGTCCTCGGCGCCAAGATCGGCGCAGCATAGTTTACGACCGGCCGGTTAACTGCTTTGTAGGTTGTCAGCAAAGTTTCCTCGTCTTTACCCCAGGAGCTGCCGGCTAGCGCTTTGAGTATTTTGTTGCGGATCTGGAGTTCTGCGGCAATCGCGGTCGTATGCGGAGTGAAGGAGTGCAGGCTGTCTAGTGTAACTCAATATCTTTGGGGTGTTTTAGTCGGATTTTTTACTTCATCCACCTTCACATCTAGCTCCAGCCTGAATTCCTTCGTCCAGCTAGTAGCCCATGACCCACCTCTGCAACCCCGGCAGTAATGAGGAATCCTCAATGTCCGTTAGTAGCACTGGTTAACTGACTGTGTCAAAAGCTTTTGAAAAATCAAATGCTACCAGGGCAGTTCGGGCGCAGGGTCAGTTTTAGTTAAGGCCATTGACTATCTTGGTGGTTATGGCGCTTAGTGTTGTTGTGATGCACACTGGTCGTTTTCCACAAGTCAGGTATCATTAGGGTGGTCAAAGACAAGTTGGGGACCTAGGTGAGAAATTCAACTCTCGCTGATCCGATATGTTTTAGCATCAGCATGCTTATTCCGTCGAGGCCGATGGACTTGAAGGCTTTCGCCTTCCCGATGATCCTCTGAACCTTTTCTCTGGAGAAATCAAGCACCGCGCTGGTATTTGGCAGATTGCGCATATGGCGGATTACACGTTGCTTCGCTTTGTCTACCAAAGGATGCAGTGCAAAAAGTCGCCTAAACAGCTTTCACATTTCTTCGGGTCCGACGAGGTGCTATCACCGAACGGAACTTCCACCCGGTCATGTCGTCTCGTCGGGTGTGACAATGACTTCACTGTAGTCCAGAGATTGGTTGCCGCGGAGGAGAGGATTCAAGTCCTCAAGTGTTTCTCCCACTTTTCCCGTTTATGATTGTAAACTACTCTGCAAATCTGCAACTTAAACCCCTGTTTAGGGCATTTCCGCGATCGGAGTTGCGAAAGGTGTTGCGCCTCAAATTTCGCCGCTTCTTTGGAAAATTTTGGCAGATTTCCGCAACTTGGCCTGTCGGGATGAAGCGGGGGCAGCAGTCATGACAATCCTGCGGAAAGAACGCTCACCCGTATTGACGTCTGATGGAGTGAGGAGAGCACTAAAGGCGTTCTTAGTAAATTCCGTGAAGCCGGGCCAGTTAGTTTTCTTAAAGTTGACAAATGTTCGGTAATCCATGGAAACAAAGTCGGGAGGCCTGTCAATCGAGATTTTTATGGGTAAGTGGTCCATGGATAGTGTCAGTACAGGTCGTCAGACTATACTGTCTATCACACCAGCACTCGCAATCGTTATATCCGGCGAGCTCTGGCAATCAACCATAACTCTGGCATGGGGTATTATCGTTCATTGTGCAGAATTTCGAATCGTCAATCTGTTCTGCCAGCTCCATTCCTCTACGGCCATTTGACAGGCTAGAATGCCAAAGATCGTTATGCGCGTTAAATTCGCCCAAAATTAAGCAGTTTTCGCTTCTGAGTTGCACACCTATAGCAGGGCTGTATCCAACTGGGCAACTTGTAAAAAGAGGAATGTATATATTAGTATCATTGCGGTCGATGTCGCTGTCAATAAGACGATACTGCGCGGTGTTGTGCAGGATGAACGTCAGGCCCCTACCATGATCTCGCTGGCGATCCTTGCAGATTATTATGTATCCGGCCCAGCTCAGAAGACCTGAGCAGGCAGTCACCTTCGTTTTCTACATTGCAGCAATTGACCGTTGCTCACAGCTCATGTATTTGACTATCTCGTTGATCTACCCCTGGGGTCCGTTGAAATTAAATTGCAGGAGTCGGGTCTGTCTCGGGTAACGTTCGTGATTCGTGGGGTGAGGGAGTGATGCGTGGATGGAGTGTATTGCTGCTGTAATGCTCGCTGAGGTTGATTCCGCACGTTGGTGTTGGTTGGCGGGATGTTTGTCGAAACAGGAGGTTGCAGACTTCTACAGCACGGGGCAACGTACGCATCGCTCTACTCCCGGGTGGTGCGCAGGCCAGAGCAGCCAGAGCAAGAGTTGCATATGACTGAGGTCATGTTACGATGCACTATGGTCTGACATATGGAACAGATTGTGCAGGGGATTATGAGCTGCTAGGTAGCCCTCGCAGAAGATGAGGATGAGAAGCTGGTTGTGGGTGGGGATGGGTGTGGTGGTTTGTCGGAGTCATGCTTCGGGGAGCTCCGTGAGACCATAGAGGTTTGTTGGTTACCCAAAGTGGGTTAAGGTGCTGAAGGCACTGCCGCGGAGGCTGGGGACGCACTTGGGCGCTGGAAGCATGGGACCACATAATTCGTGGTCCGTTCCCTAAGGGTCTTAAAGCCAGATCAGGTCTTAAGATGACTCCAACCACTGCGGTGGTTGCACATTACCGAGGTGGAGGAGTGGTGATAACAATGATTTGGAGCAACCCAGCTGAGAGGTGTTGCTCCGTTAGCGAACTTAAATTAATGTTATCTGTTGACCTAAACGGGGTTAGGTCACCGAAAGGGTGACAGCCCTTGGAAGGATAAGATCCTTATCAACTCCGGTACGTAGAACCAGCTGTCTTGAGATTTGTAGCTGCTCCTATCCAGCGGTATTCTTCTCTTATCTAGAACATTTTATGTAAGACTTTATTTATTCTTCTACATCGATTTCGTCGCCTTCAAAATATCCCCTGCCGATGCAATGCACTTCTGCCAACGCTTTTTTCAATGGTCAAAGCATGTCAAATAGTCATCTTCTGGTAAGGCCCTTAGGGAGCGCGCCGATTCACTCAAAACGTTGTCCTCGAAGTAGTCGCTTGAGTTTTTGGAAAAGCTAGATGTCACATGGAACTAAATCCGGCGAATATGGTGGCTGGAACGATATTCGTGGAATTTTTAGCGAAATGGTTACGAATAATGAGTGCATTATCGTGATGCAATAAACACGAAGTCACTTTTAGTCGTTTCGTAATCACAAGCGTAACCACCAGCATTAAAAAAAAAAGAATTAACCCTTAATATTGAATGCGCGAAGCTCAATAGTCAAGGTAAAGATACACGTAGATTGTTTTTACCCAACTTTTGCCTGACCTGATAGCTCTCCCTCCGTAAAGTTGTAGCCATCTAAAATGTAATCCATTTTTGGGACGTTTTGATTCATGACTTTTGCAATTGTGAAGGTAATGTCATTATGCCCCCCTCATATAAGACCTTATCGATTCTCCCCCAGCGTTTTCCCTCTTTATCAAAACAAATTGAAGAACATTGCTTATTTTCTCTTTGCTGGTGTCAATTTGTGACATAGTACAGAATATCAGCTTTCTAACGCCATCGCGTAGTCCAATCGCACTTATGGCCATTTTGGTAATATTAAAAAGGTCTTAACTTGAATTCAAACTCGATATCTGGCTACCGAATTCCGCATCGGCCCTGAATTTCGAAAGTGATACATGTGCTAGATTTTTAAAAATAAGTAAAACTTAACCAAAACATTTTTGTATGTGGATAACGCCAGAAAAACCCAACTTTAGACATGAATTTCGACGTTTAACTGAAAAGAATACTACTGGGAACATTTTATTGTAAATGATAGAAAAATCGGCTTTCTTAAAATTTCAGAAAATTCTGAAGTTTAGTTCGTGGCCGGTTTTGGTATATTTTCTGAGAAAAAACCAGCATCAAAATCGCTGACCGAAATGCGGAATTTTTTTTTTAAAGAAATGGATATGGCCATGTATATTTGAAAGTATAAAATTATTAAAGAATATATTATAGTTGTATGAAACTACATACCTGTAAATTAGATAAGCAATCAGGCTTGCCATACGGTGGTGATATCGGCATGGAATCGTGGATCAGGTTCCTGCGTACATATTTGATTTAAACAATATCAGTTATGTTTTTTTTTATTGAAATTTCTGATTGAAAATATTATTAAAGTTAATTTTTATTTAAGATAGAGATATTAAAGCATGTTGCTGTAAAACTTAAAATAAATTATTCAAAAGTTAAGAAGAAAATTCGAATTGCGAAAAAAGAGTTCGAGAGTTAATATATAACAAAGATTGGTAAGCTCATTTTTGAAAAAAATAGAAGAAAGGAAAAAATTATTGTTTTTTTTTAATTTGATATTGCGATTATGATGATTTTTAAATAAGTAGTAGTTAAAAAATGTACTCACATCGCTGACTCAAAGGAACTATAAAATAGTAGAATAAAATTAACAAAAACAACGCCTATGATCATCTAAAATCTAAAATCGCTAAATGTAGAGGAAACTGCATATTCACATAAAAATTAAAAAAAAAAAAAACAGACCTATTCCAAATACATACACTACATGTATCTGTATCGATTTTAAACATCCCATGGCATCCCAACTGAACAATTGAGAAATGGTAGAAAGAGCATTAGTAAGTAATACATATACAATATAAATCAATACACAATAACCCAAATAAATAACATCATTCCGACGCCATCGAAGAAATAGAAACAACGAGTGACAAGATATCAAAGAACATTCAAAATAAGCAAAGCAGCAATGCCTAACCAATAACTAAAATTTTTTAATACTAGAGAAACCAGAGAAGAGCAATAGAGCACTTGTAATGGCACACTCATCTCTATAAAATAAAAATGGAAACAAGACCAACAACCTTAGACACTTTCAAACAGACTCTATTCATATTCGAATATTTATTCATAATTTACTTTTTAAAAGCATCGAAAAAGTATTCTACAGACGAATTACTATCGAAATCACATATACAGAACTACTGGACAAAAATATGCAGATAACACATTACAGTGAAAGCAAATATATCAAAGAAGGGGGCTACAGCCACAGCAAACGAAACTTTCATTATAAGTTCACAAGAACTAAAAAGAGTTATGAAAAAATATAGGAAATTTTAAAGAGCACAGATCACACTCATAACTTTTGGTACAAAAAACTCACATCAGCACACAATAAATTACAAAAGATAATTACCGAAACAAAACAAAAATTGGCAGGTTCTTACTTTATTATATATTATACAATAATTTTTATCAAACCCAAGGACACCATAAAAAATAATCGGACCCCATCCGGGACGTAAAGACAACAATCAGCAAAACATTTAACCCTTACAACACTCGCGTTTTCCCGCAGTTAAAGAAAACCGTGTATCCTACAGGCTCTAAGCCAGTGTCTTGTCCAATATACTTAACAATGAAAAAAGGTGATAAGTCATTAAAAAAACACCTTTTTCAAACATTAAGCTCTTAAGTTCATAATCACGGAACATTTGGTCCCAATTTCATTGAAGAGAGATTGGGATTTTCTTATTTTCCCCCCAAAAAAAAAAAAAACAAAATGTACGAGACTTCTAAGCTGGCAATATAATGGTCAAACACTCTACGCATCGCCCCTACGGAAACAATTTAATTTCAGCTGTGCTATAAAATGAGTTGGTACGATTAGGAACTGCAGTTGAGAGAAAACTGGCTGCCCTCGCTAACTTCCAATCGACAATACCACCGCGGGGTAGGCTGAAGAGAGATGCAAGATGTATTTGCAGTTTGAGAAGCTAGCTTGCAAAGATAATGGTCGAAAATTCTACGAAAAGATATGCATACTTAAGGAAGGTTTAAAGCCCAGAGCATACTTATATAGGAACCAAAGTGGTAATTTGGTGACCGATATCCAGAGCTGTATGAAAGGAATACTCTTTCAGCGTGCTGAATGGTAGGAAGAATGCTAAACTAGGAGATGAGCCCGATGATGACGGAATACACTTTCCATTACCCGACTATTACAAGGTTCGAACAGCGATTACCCGTTTAAAGAACAACATACAAAGACAGCGGCTACGCTGGCTAAGTCATGTCGTCCGAATGTATGAAGCATTCCAGCTTTAAAAATATTCGATGCAGTAGCCACTGGCGGAAGCAGAAGAAGGGGGAGACTCCCAATCGGTTGGAAAGATCAGGTGCAGAGTGACTTGGTTTCACTTGTTATTTCTAGTACCAAACAACGAACAGAAGGAATAATGCATGATTAACTATTTTTAAATCGGCTATACGTCAATAAAAAATATAATTTCTAATTCCAGCACTAAACACTGTAAAAGGCCACAAGCACTCTGGTTTTCTGGCCAATATCGATGATAAAGAAATCTAAGGCGAATTACACGACCAAAAAATGGCAAGTTTGTGAACATAACATTGCATATAATATTGTTTGGTAGTTTTGAGTTCACAAATGAACTCGAGCCACAAACGCTTTCCCCAATGCAAGTTCAATTTCAAAAACTGCATAATTCGATCAATCACTGTAAATCTGTAGATAAATAAAACGTTTGCAACATTACGCTTGATCTCCTTGCATAAAAGTTAATTGTATAAACTGCAAACGAGATTACTGTTCCGTAGATATCGTAAAAGAATAGATTGTGATTCTACAACCGCTCCAGATCAAGTACAGTGTAGTTAAGCGCAAACTTCTTCCAATAATAATCCAGCAACAAATTTTTCCATAGATCACTCTGTAGCTACCAATATTTCGCCAGCTCTTTAAAAGCTAAATACTCAATAAAACAATTTCAGTTTGGTGCCAGCTAATATTTGGGATCCCGATATTTAATTTAAAGACATTTTAAGTATATGTTTTGCATTTATGTTTTCTGGAATGTTCAGAAGGATCAATTTCACAGAATAATCCTAACACATATTCAGCCATCATACCTGCTTTTGGTTTTCCTTTAAAACGTTCCTCCCCTGCTTTTATATCTTGGAGAAATCTCTCACCCCTCTCATCTGACATGGCACCCCAGTTTTCCGCGAAGAAATTTAGATGAGAACGAAGAAAATGAAGTTTTAGGGATATCTTCACACGTGAATTGCAGTAAGTTTAGTTGTGTAAACATTTTTCTTTTTCTTTAATGGTTTGAGCACCACTTATGGGTAGTTGGGAAAACCTAGTAAAATTCGTTCACTGATCCCGGATTTGATCCTTCCAACGGAGTGGAGGTCTTCCCCTTCCTCTGTTTCCACCAGCGGGTACAACATCGAATACTTCCAAAGCTGGAGTGCTTTCATCCTTTCGGCCAGCCAGCGTAGCCTGTATCTCTTCGTTCGCTGAACAATAACAATATCATCGTATAGCTCGCACAGCTTTTCGCTCCTTGAGTATTTTCCATTGCCAATGCAAAAAGCACCATAAATCGTTCGCAATATTTTTATCTCGAAGACTCTCACGGTCAACTCATCAGATGTTGACATCGTCCACGCTTCTGCGCCATATAGTAGGACGGGTATGATGAGCGAATAATAATAATAATAATAATAATAATAATAATAATAATAATAATAATAATAATAATAATAATAATAATAATAATAATAATAATAATAATAATAACCTTGTACGAAGGTTGTTTGTTTAGTTTGCACATCTGGGAGATGGATCCACGGATTCATTACTACAAACAGACTGCACTAAAAAACAAGCTTAGCTCAAGAACACTCTAACACCAAAACATATAAACATACCAAACAATAATATGCAAAGCAGCAATGTCTGTCCTGGAACTAAATACACAAAAACTTACTACTACTACAAAGACTTATTCTCTTTATTGGCATTGGCAGCGCTTATGATATTATAGCTGAATCAATTATTGCGTGCCATTCTTCTCTTCTTTTCGTTGTTTGGAGCCAGTTAGAAAATTAAGTGAAACCATGTCGCTCTTCACCTAGTCCTTCCAACGACGGGGAGAAGATTTTACGCATCCTCTGCTTCTACCAGAGGGTACTGCATCGAATGTGCTCAAAACTGGAGTGTTTTTATCTATTCGGACAACATGACCTAGGCAGCGTAGTCGTTGTCTCTTCATTCTCTGGATCATGTCAATATCATCAAGGCTCATCGTTTCACCATCTGGCACATTCACCGTTGCTAATGCGCAAAGGACCATAAATCTTACGCAAAACTTTTCTCTCGAAAACTCTTAACGCCGACTTATCAGTTGTTGCCATCATCCGTTGACTGTATGTTTGATGACAGAAGATAGTTTACCTTGTCCTCGTTCGCTACCAGATCCATTCGCTTCGCTTCTCTATCAAGCCTTGGGAAAGTGAAACTAAAGGCGCGGTTGTTAAGGCCTATCAAACGCCAGTAGTTTTACACTGTTGTAAGAGATTGTACCTTTTTAATTCAGCTCTGCAGCTCTTATTAGTTTTTCAAGCACCAATTTGAAGAAATTATACGATAAAAAGTCACCCTGTCACCCAGCACTTAGGGTGTTGTCTAGCGTCAGTTTACATAGCCGTATAAGTTTTGCGGGGATACCAAATGCGGACATAGCAGCGTAGAGGCAGATTCATTTCATGCTGCTTTAAAATAAACGGAAAGGTTATTTGTGTCGATCCTCTTTGCACGGATTTTTCCAAGACTTGTCGAATAGTGAATATCTGATCAATGGTTGATTTTCCGGATCCGTTTGTTGACGGAGGCTTTAGTTTTTTTCACAAAACGCTCGATAGTAGGTTCCCATCGTCGGGTATGCTTTTATCTGGGCATATATTACAAACAAGCTGATGCATGCACCTTGTCAGCACTTCCCACCATGTTTAAATCGCTCTGCCGGTAGAACGTCAGCTTCTACGGCTTTGTTGTTCTTTAGGCGGGTAATCGCTATTCGAGCATAGTACATGTTGAAAGCCTTCTAGTGCCGTTGGCTTGGAATTTGTTCACAACTGAGTATATCTTACTTATCATGCTTATTGTATATTTATGCTTATTTCTTTGAGATGGGTCTGCTAGTAATATATATTTTTGTTATAAGGAGTATAATATTTTTTGTCATAATTTTCAAATTCGCTATCAACAACAAATTTCAGTAACTTATTTGTATTCCCCAAATTTGCCATGATTCTATATTTGTTTGCAGTTACAGAAATATTACAATATTTAGATTAAAACTATTTTATTCGAATTGTTGAAGTGTACGCAATACATAAATTTATGACATTTTTCCATGAATGAATGCAGACACACTTTCTGCAAGCAATTTGTTTCTTCCTCATTTTTTTCTCTATTTTCTCTTAAAGGCCTCTTCTATACATTCTAATATTTCTTGCATTAATTAACTTTATCTGCAAACTCACTGATCTGAAAAACTTTTAAGTAGATACATATACGCACAAGCATATATATTTGCATGCACCCATAAATAATGTGGTAAAAACACAAATTTCAATTTCCAAACATACAACATTTATTCATGAAATTTAAGACAGCCACAATCAGTTCAAAGTTCAAAGGGAAAAACAAATTTTGCAGATAAGATCAAAAACACAAAATGTGTCGAACGATCACCGCCCTGTCGACTAAAGCCCACCGTCAATAAACAGATTGGACCTTATCAGTGTGGCTTTAGCCCTGGTAAGTCAACCATTGACCAGATTTTCACCATGAGCCAAATCTTGAAAAAACGCTCGTGAAAAGATGATCGACACACACCACCTTTTCGTCGATTTGAAAGCCGTCTTCGATAGCACGAATAGGAGCTGCCTTTTCGTCGCAATATCTGGGTTTGGTATCCTCTCAAAACTTATACGGCTATGTTAATTGCCGTTAGGCCACACTGAAAGCTCCGTCAGGATCGGGAAGGACCATTTCACTCCGTTCTATACCAAACGAGGTTTCAGACAGGAAGATTCCTTACCGTGTGACATTTTTAAGTTATCGCTGGAGAAAGTAATACGAGCTGCAGATCTGAATAGAGAAGGTACAATCTTCTATAAGAGTGCACAGCTGCTGGCGTTGACATACATATATGGCCTCAACGACCGCGCCGTGAGTTCTGCTTACTCCAGACTGGATAAAAAAGCGAAGCAAATGGATCTAGTAATGAACGAGGGCAAGACGAAATATCTCCTATCATCACACAGCAGTCATCATAGTGACTCGGCTACCACGTCCCTGTTGACTGTCATATCTCCGAGGCCGTAGATAACTTCGTCTATCTAGGAACCAGCATCAACACCAATAATAAGTTTAGCCTTGAAATCCATCGCAGAATAACTATTGCCAACAAGTGCTACTTTGGACCGAGTAGGCAATTGAAAAGTTAGGTCCTCTCCCGACGAACGGAAACCAAACTCTAGAAGTCCCTCATCGTTCCCGCCCTGCAGTATAGTGTGGAAGCATGCACGATGACAGCATCTGATGAGACGGTGTTAGGAATTTTCGAGAGAAAGGTTTTGTTTATTGGCAACGGCGAATATCTTAGATGATGAATCGCTGTATGAGTTATACGGTGGCATGGCATGTCAAGAAGCAGCGACTACGCTGGTTAAGTCATGTGGTATGTGAATACGAAAATTCCAGTTTTAAAGATTTCGATGCAGTACTCGCCGGTGGAATCAGAGGAAGAGGAAGACCTCCACTCCGCTGGAAAGAGATGGCCTGGTTGTACTTGGTATTTGCGATTGGCGCCAAAAAGCAAAAAAGAAGAAACGAATGGCGCAATGTTGTTAACCCGGGTATAATCGCGTAAGCGGTGTCTACGACAGTAAAGTAAGTGAGTAAGTCACAGATAGCATACGTAACGTTGAAGATCCATGCATCTGACGACGCTTCAATAAGTTGTCACAAATGTTTCGTATTTCGTGAACATTTCTTGTTTGGTAAACATATGCTACGCAAATCGGCTTAAATATAAAACAAATAGAAATAAAGATTGCAGATTACTGAGGCCAGTCATGCAAAAAAAATAATTACATCAAATTTAAAGGCTGGTCATACGACGTAATTAAATTTTTTGGCAGCAAAATGCGTGAAGAAACTAAAAATTTCGTCACAGTTGCCATGACTGAAGGCACCTTAATTTATGTCATAATTTTAAAAACAATTTTCGATTGATATAATGGTGACAGAAAGCAGCATAGTTTTGGAGCCTATCCTAACAATGCCGCTATTAAGGAATATTAATGTCTAAATTATTTATACTCATGCAAATTACTTACCTTAGCATTAAAAACATATTTATATGTAGAGGCGGTTCCAACTCGGGAAAATGTGTTACATGCCCAAATTACTCACAGCAGCTCAAACACAAATGAGAGTTTTTAAAGAAACTAATCAACTTTTAAAGGTTTGCAGTAACAATATGTGTTTGATATAAAGATTTTGTGTGCTTGGGATTTAATTTTTCGACTGATGTTGTATAAAATAATTTCTGGGTCCGCCCCCATTTTATATGCAAATACGTACATATCTAAGTATAAATATAATTATGCGTAAGTTATAAAAATAATGATGTATAAGTAAATATATAACATAAAAGGCATTGTTGTTATGGGTTTGCTTAATGAGTGCTCTTACTGCGGCTGATAGTTGCAAGAGAAAAGTCCTTCACTGTTAGCACCAACACCTAAGGCAATATCATTTAAACCATTTAAAGCACCCTCGCTGCTGATACCATCTGCACCAGCTACCTTGTTCCCAGCGGTTGTAAGCTTTCTTAATTTCTTAATTGTGTTTATGCCAGTTAACGAATTATTTATATGCAGAAAATCGTTTGGTGATGCATAAATACGTTGACATTTTAATTTTTCTACTTCATTGTTGCTACAAATGTCGCTCAGATACCTTTGGCTACCTTCGCAGATATCAATGCCGTCATAATCGCCATTGTTTCTATTAAAATCGAAATAATGCTTCATGATGGTTCCTCTTTTTTTTATTGTTTTATACCCGACTGCATATTATACTATAGGACATTTCTATTATTCAACTCAGATTCAAAGACTTGAGAACTAGAATCATCTGTCAATGCAATCGATAGCTTAAATTTAAAAATTACGATTTCTTAATGAAATATTGTCTTGTTATCTAGATTATGAAGGTTGTATGGCCGATAAAGCAGTAAAACAAGAATCAAAGCATGATGAGGACCAAGAAACCATCATTAGTAACTTTTGTATTTTTCGACCATATGGTCCATTAGAGTACTAATTGAATTAATCCTCTGCAGACCGTCGTTGGAATATGATGCAATGACCTACGAGAAATAGTTATGTGTGCGAGTATGTGCAAAAATTTTTGCTTTATTATTCACTGTTATGCGCGGTATAATTATTTTGGATTTGTAATTTCATTTATTTAGCTCGATTACGCATGCATAAAATTATTTGTTGGTTTCTATATCATGACGTTATCTTATGAAGCCGAAATTTATGACTTGTTTGATAGAAAATATTTCTATGTGTAATTTGATTTATTTGTCGTAGAGTTTACATCGTATGTGTTTTGAATTTTAAAAGTGGAAATAAATATAAACTGGGACATGGCAAAAAGGGTTTCAACAAATTAAACTGAAAATATTATACTTAATACGTGAAAGCGAGTTAACTGAGGAAGTGTGCGGTTTGATCAAGGGGGTGAGTTATAAAGCGGGCAGAACAAGGACTCTGTATTACGAGGCAAAGGGTGCAGCAAGTAAATAAAGTAGGTTTGGGAATGGGATATGAATCTAGAGCTCCCAAACAGCTTCTAACACAACGACAAAAAAATAGCCAGTATTACGTTCTACGTCAAAAACAAATTTTAGGTTGAAAAATTTGAAAATGTCACTTTTATTGATGAGAACTACTCATAACTTTTGGAGGGAACTGCAAAATGCAAGTCATACCCGTTACTAACGTCCAGATATTAATCCCATTGAGGATACGTTATGAGACCATTAAGAAGCTCAAAGAAGCTATAATCGATTTTAACAAACTTATGAATTTAATTTTGTATAAAAAGTATGTGAGCTATATTTTCCTATTTTCTCTTAGTACAAATTTTGTTTGAAAAATTATATACTATTTATATTTAGCTTGAAACATTTCACATATAATTTTTTTACGGGGGTACATATATATGAGTATATACTCGTAGCTTTGCGCTCAAATTTCGCAGAATAGACTCCCTGATAAAAGCAATGTAAGTTTTTTTGATGAATTATTAAGTGAAAAATAATAAAACTTCTTACATATTTGCATATAAAATTGAATGATTGGTTGTTAGTGACGCTATGGCTCGAGAACGGCTAGACCAATCTAAATTAATTTCTCAGACGTTGTTTGTTGTGGTTTTGGAAAGGTTTAAAAAGAAAAAAATTTCTGAGAGAGATAAAAAAAATTGGAAAGTTCCAACAAGTGATATTTTTCCATATAATTTTTTTGTTTTTAAATTTTTTGTGGTGTTTTTCAAAATTTCTCTTTTAAATCTATCTTTTTATAAATAGTTATTTTTTTCTATTTGATTACTTTATTCGAACAGTTTTCGTTTGTTGGTAAATATACCTAACCTCTTTTCCATTGGAATACATGGCTTATTCACAGAAAAAGATATTTACTAAACTGCGTTACATTGATAGTAGATAAATCGTAAATAAATGATTTTAGACACAATATAAATTCAACCTTCGGGTTCAGCTGGTTTTTTATATGAAATGATTTGTTATGTTTGAAATTTTAAGATTACTGATTATCAATTAATAAATGATAATTGTATTAAACATAAGGCTTGCTTTTCGAAAGTCTATATACTCCACCATATTCCATAAAAATATATAACATAATTAACATACGATGTCCTACTGCACAGACAACGTAGAGGCAATAAGCTTTGAAGTTAGTCTGGAAAATACTGAATAGTGTATCCACAGTGCATTACGTTATGGAGCTCCTATGAAAAAGTAAAAAATAGTATATGGAGCAATAAATACATGTATTGTATAAAATATTTCAATACACATACATTGGAATATACATACAACGGATCAAATCTCAACTCGTACACCAGATGAAAGAATTTCAATACCTGAATTTTGATGTATTCACAAATATCTTTATTAACTTTTATTAACAAAGAAAAAGAAACTGAAATTAAAACACTTCATTTTTAACAAAAAAAAAAAAAAAAACAATAAACAAAACAAAAAACTTAATTCAGTGCGAAAGCCAAGCTCGTACATTTGAAAGATTGCTTTACCTTTTAGTATTTTATACAAATTAATACCTGGTATGCATTCCCTGATTCTTAGTGACCTCTTCCAGCATATTAGGCATACTTTTTTCGAGACTTTCACAATATCCTCTTTAAGTCCTCCTTAATGGAAATGTTGTGCTGACAAACTTTTGTATAAAGATAACTCCGTAAACTGTCAATTGGAGAGGATATGTTTATGTTTGGGGTCCTTATCTCGATAAAAGTACCAACCCCAATTGTTCGGTTGATAAGGGAGCATTCAACGAAATGAAGTATGCCATGCCATGTCATGTTTCTCGAAAGTAACTTACTTTCGTGAGCAAACTTTCACAATAAAAAATCTTTTGAGCTATGAATTTTAGCAAATGCCAGATGCACTTTTATTTCATTGATTTATTAAATATTTTACTCCAACTCCTCTACGATTCAAATTTGCCCGGAGAAGCATGTTTCCAATTTTTTGCGGGCATACTGCTTTTCCCAAATCATTTTCAGCGATCGTAGCTAAATTTGGCGCACTTAAAAATACTGACGTAAAAATTCTGTTTTGTCCCACTTCAGATTAATTTTTTATGGTTATATTAATTTTATATCATTTTAGTACATATTGAATAACGGAACGGTTTTTACTTACTATTGTATTTTAGAAATTTCTCGCAAAAATTTCCCATCCGTGGGGTACTTTTTAATCAATTCTCTGATATATGTGCTAGTTTCACACCGCCTTTGCCTTTTCATTCTTTGTTTTGCCCAACTTTTGTACAAAAGCCTATTTATTTTCACAGAAAAATGTAACGATTAAACTGTGCATATGATTCTCCGAAACAAATAATTAATATTGGTGAACTTAAGCGAGAGCGAGATACATACATGAGATATCTTGCTGAGAGCGGCGAAATGTTACCAGCTGCCAGTGTACTTGCACACTTCTGAACAAATATATAATTGTCGTCAACAAATTTCCTAATTTATGTGTTCGAATATAAACGCAAATCAAATATACATGATCTATATGGTAACAAATAACTAGTTCGGGATTTAGTTTTTGTTTCTTTTAAAAAAAAATTACCCGATTATTTAATATTATTTTGAAAAAGCCTTTACTGGCATAGCAACGAGAAATGAGCCCAGCCTGTTTTACGGAAAAAATCAAATCGCTGTTGGTTTCTGCGGGACAACCGTCACTTACGGCATGGGCAAGCGGTGACAACTTTGTGTTTACATGGCGCTCTCATGAGATAGGATGCTAAAGATGGAAGGTACGTGAGTTGGGTAGTTGCAGCATTACTCCTTTTTTATTTCTTTTTAACTATTCTTATTAAAGACGAAATTTTTTCAGTTAAGTTTTTTGTTAATAAAAGTTAATAAAGTCAACAATCAAAAATAAGTCTCGAGTGTTTCTAAAATTATTTTGAAGGTTTCAAAACTCGGTTATTGAAATTCTTTCATGTGGTGTACGAGCTTGGCTTTGATCCACTGCATGTAAATTTAACTCGTCTTTTTTGTACCAGCAGATCTCACCAATGACAAAGTTGACAATATATGAGACTCTGTTCATAACTCTTAGCTGGTCTGCAAAAATTTGTTGACTAGATGTGTCTAAGCGCTCAACATAAAACCTTAATGCAAACGACGTGCGCGCCAATTTCCGGTTTCCCATTCTTCCGTGTCTCCTTTCACGCGGCTATCCTTCTTTCCGTGTATACCCCACTTCGTTAGCCGAACTATCGTTTAGTCGCAGTAGTTCGAGCTAACAAAGAAGGATAAGCTTTTATACTCGAAATCCAACCATCTATGCGCGCGCACGGCGTATTTTATCGCGGCACCTCCCTATTTAGTGAGCCTCACTAAGAAAGGAGACCAAATTGAAAACCTAACTTTATTTGTGAAATTAATACGGAAATAAAAATTAATTAATGAAAGTGCTTGTGCACACAATTAATGATAAGAATATTATTTCTTTTATTTATTCAAGAAAAGTTAAATATGGTCCTTTGACGCTTATATAAAAGAGACTAACAGTCCACAACTGATGCTTCCCCGTGCTCTCGTTTTCAAAAAAAAATATTAAAGTGCTGTGCAGTGCAGAAACAACTAAAACAGAAAAAAAAATTGTTAACTAATTAAACAAAAAAAAAAGGTTGTACAAAACCAAGTGACAAACATATACACAATATAATTTGAAAAAAATAAAGGAAAGCCAAAAGTGCGAAATCAAATATACATACATACCATAGTACGCACACACATACATACAAAAAAGATTTTTTTTTTAATATTTTAAACGATAAAGTGCACGTGCACACATCCAAACAAAAAAAATTTACAAAATATAAAAAAACATTCGAAAAAAAACCCAAAGAGGCGAAATCAAATATACATACCTACACACAAATACATAAGTGCACTCACATTCATACAAAGAAAAAGGAGGAAATGGTGAAAAATAAAGTAATAAATAAATAACTAAAAAATTACAACAAAGTGTTAAATAGTTGGAAGAAGGAGCTATTAAATTAAAGAAACAGAAACCAACAAACTCAAAGAACATAGCTATCATATCAATTTTGCCACAGCAGCAACAATAACAACAAACTCAACGTGGGAAGAACATCAGTCAGCTTTCCACAAGAGAGGTACAGCACCAGCACCTCACAAACACACGCACACACAAAGAGGAGGATCCACATGCCACAGAAATGGGCCTTGTTTTTGTAAGACGGACTATCATTCCCGCCAAAAAAAAATAAATTTGAAATTTAATCCGCTAATTGGAGCGGAAAGTGGTTCTTCTTGCCCCTAATGTATTTATTTAATTCCCGTAGAAATCTGTATTTTTCATATACAACAAATATGTATGCATAGTATGTACATATCGGTACGTAATTAGCTATATACATACATACAACTAATTGCAGTTTATTTTAATTTGCCTACTTGCGGCACTTTGCAATTCCCAATTGCGGGCTCTAAGGTCATTGTCCTAATTACCTACTTACTCTACAGTAAATGTAAAAGTTCAAAGTTCTCTAAAATAGAGACTTGTCAACAACTTTGGTAGTCGTTCTCGAGTTGAACGAACTCGACAGCGCATCAAAGCAAACAATTTAGATACAAACATTACAGAAATATTCACCACGAATTGTTTGCACTGAGAGCATAAAAAACAAAGAGTGTTATAATAACAAGTGATCTTCTCACTAAGCCATTATCCACCATTCTCTTGAGCATCCAACTAGTTCAAGAGCATTGTGCACACTCCCACGCTCATATTTTAACACTCTTTATAATTGCTATTTCTCAGCATTGGTTAGCTGAATTTTAGCATATACAATAAATCCAAACATTGATACACCAACATATATATATGTGTATATATACATATTTATTCTCATATGAGCTCTACCAAAACAGCTGGTGTATCCTGTTTACACATTTCGCACACATATATATACATAAACGAATGCGTGGATAAATGACCCTAAAGATTCAAGATATTGTAGATTTCGTGCTATCTTGCCATCTCATGAAAAACATACTACATATTTACATATACATATATTTAATAAAAAATAATTTATTTTATATTATTTATATATTTAACACGTATATTTCCAAACGTATATTTCAACCACTTGTATATACATAAGTGTAAGTGTGTGTGATTTCCTTTTTATTTTAAATTTATTAAAATTTTTTTTATTTTCGTTTTCATACACGTATTTTGTTTATTTCAAAACAATTGCTTAACTATTCGCCAGTTAGTTTCGACCAAAAAAAAAAACAAAAAAAAAAACACACACACACACACTCGCACATATACGAAGTTCATTTTTCGAATTTATAAATTTTCTGTGGGCAGTAGTGCAAATATTGATTTCACTATCTGCTAGGTGGGTAGTTCAAAAAAAAAGTTTCTTTCTATATTAAATTTTTTAGGCCTCAAAAGGGTTTTTTCCAGGAATTCCTCAATGCCAATTGGACACAGTCCCAAAAAATCCTAGAGGAAGAAACGAAATTTGCCAGTATGTGAGATACTGAGGGTAAAGCGAAAACTACAATACTTCGCTAGATTCCGCAAGTACAAAGAGGGAATCCTCACAAAGGCGCTCAAGAGCTAAAGCGTACGAGCCCTCTGCGCAAAAGTTTATAACAGAAAGTCAAACAATATCCTTTTAGTGACGTTAATTTCGATCTGGAAGCGCTTCGGTCTAGATATGAAAACAAACACATTTTAGTAGATAATCAGGTCAAAATGTTAATGAACTTGCCAAAGCTTCAAGTATTAACAACTGTCTGTCTGTGTTAGATTCTCAAGACGTTTCAACGGACAGTTGGGATCCTATACTGGTATACATTTGTTCAACAAAATTACCAGAGTACTGTCACTTTGGGAACAATCGCTCTCATCAAGACGAGACCTACTCCAATGGTCTCAATTAGACGTCTTCTAACTTCTCGGTACGAAGTTGTAGAAAGACGAAATAGGCTTCATCCTAACAAGCCTGGAACCAATGCTCCATATGCTGCTCAGCAAAAACCTTTAGTTAGGACACGAAGAAGGCATATTCCTGTCAGATGTGTAACTCCAGCCAACCCCTAAAACTCTGCCGAAAATTCCGGAAAATGTCAGAGCAAGAACTTTTTAAGGTTGTACAAAAAAACAACCTATGTAAAAATTGCCTTGCCTACAACCATAATTTTAAAGACTGTAAGAGCAAGGTTACATGTGCGAAATACCAACAAATGCATCATACTCTACTGCACATAGATGTTAAACCACATGCTCAACGTACCAGTAGCCGACCCCATAAAGCTACAGTACAACATATATGCACTATAAATCAATCAAAATACAGGAAGTTTTTGCTTATGAATCATTATAATAACTTCTATGACAAATACAACAGTTCTAATTTTGGGGATTGTCATATTCACGGAAAGTTCAATGGATTTCAAAAATGCCAAAATTCTCCTTTCAATTCACACAAACCACAATTTAAGCAATTACAACATTTAAAAAATAAATTTTAGCAAATAATATGTTAGGTAAGAAACAACGTTGTTAATCAGTACGCTGAGAGAATATAAAAGCTGTTCGCTGTCACAGTAACTTAGCCTTGCTAAATTCGCCTTGTTCAATTCTTAAACTCGTCTTGTTCAAATTTTTATATTCGTCTTGAAATGTGTGTATTTTAACTTTGACAGATGCCGCTTGTATCGTTCATTATCCAAATGTTCTGTGCTTAAAGCTAGCTGTCAAATTATACGATTTTTGTCCCACATCGCGTAGTAGTATCAAAAGTTTCCAGCATTTTTTCGAATATGAGTATGCAGAATATCTCACACTTGACTTCATTTACGTATAAATATAGTATAAATGTATATTATTCAAAGCTAGTGCGTCAGCACTTATTGCAAATCTTTGTAATGAACACCTACATATCTAATATAAGTCGAGCTGATAGTACAGAATCGCTTCCATTTTCTCTACTTATATGTATGTAAACAGCCGGGTATCTTCTGTTCGGTTACATCCGAACTTATCTCTTTCTTACTTGTTGTCGCTGGTGTTATTATTTTTATTATTGCTTGATTTGTCATCATTCGCTCGAACCATATCGATTGCAACAGTCACAACTGGCGTACCAGCATCAAAATCAGTCCTTAAGTCATGACTGTGACAACCTCGGTCACCGCCGTCACCACTGTTCGCATTACTAGTACCATTACCAATCTTGCCAAAGCTATAGCAGTTGGCACCGACACCACGACCGTGATGGCTGGCCTGGTTGCAGCTCAGATTATGAGAGATGCGTTGTTTCTGTTTTTGTTGTTGTCTATTTAACAATTGCTGTGAACCGATAGTACCGCCAATGGCCCGGCTACCGTTAGTAGTACTGCTTTTCTCAATGATAGCGGCACTATCGGACATCTGCGAATTGGAGTTAGGCGATGAAGACGGTTCATATTTGCGAGGACGGCCACGTGATAAATGGCGTCGTTTTACAAATTCGCTGTCGTCTACCATCCAAAAGGAGCCAAAGTCATCTTCATAGCGCACAAAGCATTTATGCAGCGACAGATTTGTACGTATGGCATTCTAGATTGGCATATGAACATATGAAAAAATATATAAATAAATACGTAAATATATAAGAATTTAGATATATTATGCAATTTTTAATGCAATAATTAAAAAAATTATCTTAATTATTTGAAATTTAACAAATCATTGGTGGTGCATCAAACGTTATGGATTTTATTAACAACTGTTGAGTTTGATTTCGCTGTAAATAATTTGTAGTTCGACATGTTTATGATGCAGAAATAAACAGAAATGAGAAATTATGTACTTATCTTAAAGATTCAATTAATAAACAACTCTGAGGATAATTATGTAAATTTATTGAAATTCATCCTCTTACATTATGTTGTTTTTTACATATCTAACTGTAAATGAGCTTACAATAGAGTACTCATAAAAACGAATGAACAGCAATATATTATACATATATACATATATATGTATATACATATATACAGCTGTTGACAGCTAATTAGAAATGATGCTCATTTTAAATTGAATGATCCTTTTGCCCACCAAAGCACGCATATACATGATTTGTTTTATAACTTTATTTAAACATATACAAAACTTAAAATCATATTCCAAGCAATTTATTCAAAATTTACTTAGCCGCGGTAGCCGATTGGTGAGCATTGCGCACTGCCATTCGGAAGGCTCAGGTTCAAATCCTGGTGTCGTACTAACATCCAAACTAATTATGAAAGTAAATTAATTAAAATAAAAAAATTAAGCTAAATTTTCTATTGTAATTGCGGTCGCTCTTCTTCACATAATGTCTGACGTAAGATCAAGCTCCTCATAAAAACCAGCCGTTCGGAGGCGGCTTAGTATAAACTGTAGGCTCCTCCATTTGTTGCATAAACAACAAGACACAAAACCACAAATTGGACGAGGAGCTCAGCGAAAAATCGCTTCAGCTGTTACAAAGCGCCAATTACATATATATGAAACGTACCAAGGATTAAATTCGTTGATGGTAGGTATGCTACGACCATCAGGAATAGTGCGATTATTTGTGTACCATAGCTCCAAACGATATACTTCCACTGGTTTTGGGTTGAAAACCAATGAGAATGGGCGAATTCTACGCGTCCTTTTCTTTGGATTTTGGTCAGAAGCGGTTTCTTGTGTGCTGCTCTTCTATGAAGTGCAAATTCGACCAAACGCCATGCATTTATTCTCTCCTATATTTGCACAGTGAATTTTTCCAAAACTTCACATTGAACGTCCATTTGCGTGCCACATTTGCAGCAGTTTTAAAATTCTGGATATGCTTTAAGGCATTAAGAACCATTTTTTGGAGCATTTGACTTGCCCCGCTATTTGACTTTCAAGATCTGCGAAATTCAAAAATGGAACTGCGTAATTCCGGTGTACAGCTGATGTGTTTTCCCATTACAAGCCTTGAGATAAGAATTTTAATTGATTTTGAATACTACATTTTAGATACCTACTAGCCAAAAATTAGTAATATTATCACTAAAACAACACAACGTTATGAATATGTTACTATCGAACAATCGCTTTTAATTAACTGTCTCACTTTATTTACTTTACATCAAGTAATGCATGCACAAAGTGGGAAAGTAATAACAGTACTTGAAATGCACAACTAGAAATCGGAGGCATTGAGTAATAGAAAGAGTAACAAAAACAATGAAATTGTCGTTTTTAAGATAATATAACGTTAAATTTCCATATTTTACTATTATGCTTAAAAATCACTGACAAAAAGAGAGCGCTTCTAATTAGTTGTCAACAGTTGTAGATATACGGGTATTCTATATTCAAGGTAAAATGTCTTATGAGGAGTCAAAAAAAAATTGGGATAATGCCAAAAATCAACATATTTTCGTTACCCATTTTTTTTGTAAGTTTAGAGTAACGCTTGCGTAACCTTTCTTAAGTGTATATGTTTTTCTTGTAAAAAATGGGTGTTTGTGAAGTTTCATGTTGTTTTGTATTTGTACGAAGTATCAATTTTCGCAATGTAATGTACTGCGACGAAAATACCAAACCAGAATGTCAGATAAAAGAGAGAGAGAGAGTGATAACTACAAAATTTCCCGCTGTGTATAATGAAGTGAACTGGTTTTTGTCTATTGTCGCGTACTGGCCGCAATAAAAACTTCTTTTCTGTTTGTATGATCATTTCCTCGAAACGTTGGCAGTGACATCTGTCGACCAATAGTTGCATTATTTGAAGCCATGGATTGATGGCACGGTTGCATTCGGTGTGTGCCTACCCAGAGTTATAAGTCTGGCCGGTCGCTTTATTAGCTTTTGTCATCTCCTTTTTGAGCGGTAGTTTATTTTGAAGTGTGTGGTTGGGGCAGAGAGGGCAATCGAAGCCCCACTATTGATAGGAGGTTGTTTTCAGTGGCGGAACCGGAGGTTGACGTTACCACCGGAGGAGCACCGAAGTCTGGACGCACACCCGACCGAATAGCCGCTAAGTATCATTTTGAGTATTTATTGTTAGCTTGCGCTTAGTCGTACCGACAGTGTCACTACCCTCGTCACATCCTTACCCATCCTTCTAGCATCCTGCACCCAGAGCCCAGTCGTACAGGCGGGTTAGAGTTACCCCCGGCAGCACGAGAGTAGTGCGAGTGGGTTCGCAACCAGTTCGGTTGGACCACACCTCAGGTGCACCCAAAAACATATTTTGTTTTATTCTTTTTAAGTAGTTCGAATTTGCTGTTAAATTCTTGTTGTCGTGCTATTTTTGTTTATATCAGCGTTAGTGAGGTCAACTGGGTGTTGTTTTTCTTCCTTGGCGAATAGTTTTGTTATTGTACGTGGCTAGCGACCCACGCTGTCTTCACCAAACTGGCTGGTCGCTTTGTCAGTTTTTGTCATCTTCTTTTTGTGCGGTAGTTTGTTTTGACGTGTGTGGTTGTTGGTAAGCATTTGACCAACAGCCACTGTAGGTATACATATGTATGTGCGTATGTACATACGAACATACATATTGTAATTATAAAAAGTGAAGGTGACACTATTAATAAATATAGGTTGAGGAAGTTATGGTATAAGCGCATTTAGAATATAACCCTGAGCCTGAAAGCAAATAATTTAAATTAGTGAACGGAAAATATTGAATTTTCAAGCAAACTATTGTTTAATTTAAATGTTATTATATACAGTACGACAACATCTTTCTGATTAGACAGTATCCTTATGTAAGTAAACATTTGTTTTCAACATAATTTAATATGCTAATGCTTTATTTAAGTCGCATTGTAAATTAAATTAAACAAATTAGGCGAAAATATTTTATCAAGTTAAATTTATATTTGCAAAACTGAAACCTTCCCAAAGAAATTATGAGAAAATGTTAAAAGTTTTTTCAAAAACTAACTATAAACTACAATATATTTAAAATATTAGAGAAAATAACTCCTTGTGGTTTTCTCTTAACTTCAACTAACCCAAAACGGTTCTTAAAAAATATCCCTGAGCTGTACCAACACCGGCTCCGCGTTACACAGTATTTTTTATCAAACCGTTTTTTAAATTAGCGGTCTTTGGCTAAATAGCCCTGGACATGACCAATACGGACTTCGGCTTTCACAGTATTTTAAAGGGGGGAACCTGGTTTAGAACGTTGAAAATTGCATGATATTCGACACAGGGTTTTAGGTTACATTACGTATGAAATGTTTCAAGTACTTTTGAAATAGGTCATAGATACACAAATCTTGCAAACAAAATTTACTTTCACTTTATTTGATACTGTTAAGCAATAACAATTCGAATTTGCTTGTGGCACTTCTCGCTCGAAGAGTCTATTTTGTGAACACGACAGCGATCGCAGTTTTCATCTGAAACATAAAAACGAATACTTTTTTGTAGCTTAGGAGTTACTCTTATATGTGAACCTAAGATATTCGAAGAAATGTAAAAAATTATTCATTTTATGACTATGTATAATGAAATAAATTTTATTGTGATTTTTTAGATTCACATAGAAGCCTACACAATTAGCTGTAAAAAATTTAGCACTTATGAAAACGCGATAATTACAACTTTTTTAATCGTGTGCATAAAACAGAAAAACGCTGTTTTGCCTAAAACGCGTCTCGCGCCCGCTTATCAGTCTCCTGAGCGCATTGGTTCTCAGAGGCCATTTCTGCGGAACGATTAAGAATTTGACTCTGAAATTTTGTGGAAATATTTCTGAATATATTTACAATCGAATGAGACTAGTTTCAAAAAATCGATTTGTTTGACCATCTAACCCAGGTTTCCCCCTTAAACCAGCCTCTTTTATAATTGGGTGCTTTAAAAAATAACTGTTGGTACACTCCAGTTTTTTAATGTGAAACAGTTAAATATTCTTACTTTCTTTTATGAAAAATTCTCATTTTATATTAGCAAGGTCTGTTTAGCCAGTGTTGATAGTGTGTTTATTAGTGAAATAAAAACAGACTCCATGTATATAAAATATGTTACTTAACTTTTGAATTATATTCTTGCGTGTGAGCAAATTTGTATTTATGGCATCTGTAGACACACCGCTTCCAACCATGAACATTTCATAAAGAAAAACCACCGACTCCTTGCTAAAGTCATATTTATTTGGAGGAGAAATAATATGGCATTTACAGCTTCCAAGAGATCTTGAAGTCATAATACAGCCTTGATGGGAAATATTTTTGCTGGACTAAGGTGAAAATAGTTTACCGGTATAACAATTTAAAAAAAAAAAACTGTTTATCGTTCCAGAAACAATATTTTTGGGCAGAAGCAAGTTTGTCAATGACTCCTTCAAGGAAAATTTTCGTTAGGACCGAAGTTTGTTACTGAAGCTGTGGGATAGTCCATTCCTGTTGACATTGTAGAGGATCACAAACAATTTTAATAAAAAAAATGTAGGGTATATTTATGAACTTTATATGTTAATCTGAACAATTGAACAAATAAAATAAATATGACTAATTATTGCCATGAAGTTTTTGTAATGCAGCTTTGCACTATTAAACTAGATAACATCTGCTTTTAGATGA